TTTTCGATGTTGATATAGTAATTGTTCTCATTCGTCAAAATTAATCCGAGTACTATCTAATTCTAATCAAGTTTTGGAATTTCTATTCACGAGCTATAATTAATTAAGTATGGCAATTGCTATTGGTCCCGAAATCCCGAGAAAAGATAACTATGATGAGAAAAGATAAATGGATGAAATCCATTTGTTACTTTAAAAGTCAATTCATAGGAAATATTGCCCAAATTAATACGCTTTTGCTCTTTTGACACAAATGTTCTCCTCCATCACAAAATAAACATAATTCGAGTATATAAAACCAAAAATCAAATCCAAAAAATTAAATATAAGAGAATAAATATAAAAAAATGTACCTTATCATGTGTGTGCATATATAGTGATGAAAAAGGAAAGGAAAAGGAAAAGGGAAAAGTTGTGAGCAAATTATGAAGTGTTTGCATGTATGGTGATGAAATAGGAAAGAAAAAGAAAAAAAGATGAAAAGTAGAATTGACTTTCCTGTTTTTCTTTGATTTTATTTTGTGTATTCTACATGATTGTTTTCTCAAAAAATGAGATTAAATTTAGAACAATATGCAACTATAAAAGGGTCAAAAACCCCATGAAGGACATAGCTCACATCGTTATTGATCGATGCTCGTCTATAATGTTTTCCATTCCAATTCTAATATGTGGCCTATTTCTTTTTCTTTCACTTTATATATCATCACCAAAACACGTAAAGAAAGATTTTTTTCCAAGTTCTCATCTTCCTCCGGGAAGCTTAGGATGGCATTTCATAGGCGTAACTTTAGAGTATGTTTGTACAAGCGTTGTTGGACAACACCAAAACTTTGTGCGAGATAGAATGGAAAAATATGATCAATAGGTTTTCAACACTTCATTGATAGGAATATCGATGTTCATTTTCTACGGATCGAGTTGGAAAGAAGACTTCACTAACGAGGTCCAAATATCTGCTATTTTTCAAATTATGATCATCATAATCAGCCAAAACAGTTAAAAGTCTTATTAGGTTCAACCTTAAGAAAGCTTTAAATATATAACAATAGCTAGATGATATATTAATTAATGTTGTGATCATAATTAAAGATTTTAAAAGGGTTAAGTAAACGTAATCTTACATTTATGTAACGTTACCCTTTTAGTAAGTATTTTAATATGCTCGGACCCTTTTAGTGAATAGATAAAGGTCATTATAATTAGCCAAAATAGTCAAAAGTCATCTATGGTTCAATCTTAACAAACCTTTAAATATATAACGTAGCTAGATGATATATTAATTAATGTTGTGATCATAATTAAAGATTTTAAAAGGGTTATGTAAAAGTAATCTTATGTTTATGTAACCTTTTTAGTAAGCATTCTAATATGTTTAGGCCCTTTTGGTGTGTGTGTGTGTGTGTGTCGACCCTTTTTCAAATTTTTCCATTCTATTATTTCTTGTATATGTCGGCCTTTTTTTCAAATATATCCATTCCAGTATTTACTATTTTCTTATATTAGAGAGTAATATAAAATTATTTTTAAAATTTTAATCAACGAGTGTAAATTTTTTAGTTGAAATGATTTTAGACACTCAATGTAGGGACAATCTCGTAGTTCTTAGTCCGTAATGTTAAGGTGCAAGATGCTTTATTTTATTTTCTCATTAAAAGCCAAACCTAGACTCGTGCTCGAGAGATAGCTGTTCATACACGAATATGGAATGAATAGATTCTCGAGAAGAAAGGAGCCATGGTGGTCCACGCAGACCCTCCGAACTCGTAGAGTGAATAGAAAGTTGGATCTACATAGAATCTATATAAAGGGATCTTGTTTCTTGTAAATTTATGAGTACAACAATTTTAGACATAGAATTTGAAAACCAATTAAGGTCATATTTAATTATTTGCTTTCGATAAGTCCGTTTTTTTCACCATTCCAAGCATACACATTTTAACATTTCTCACTACTCGATTAACTAGCAAGTAGCTGTTGTATTATCATTCTTATGCAAGCTGTGGCATCTAAGTACTACTTATTACATTTTTAATGCCGGTATAGTAATTGTTCTCATTCATCAAAATTAATCCAAGCACTATCTCGATTCTAATTAAGCTTTGGAATTTCTATTCACGAGCTATAATTAATTAAGTATGGCAATTGCTATTGTTCTTGAAATCCTAAGAAAAGATAACTATGATGAGAAAAGATAATTGGATGAAATCCATTTTTTACTTTAAAAGTCAATTTGCTAGAATAGGAAATTTTGTCCAAATTAATGCACTTTTGCTCTTTTGACACAAATGTTCTCCTCCATCAAAAAATAAATATAATTTAGCACATAAAACCTAAAATCAAATCCAAAAGATTAAATATAAGAGGATAAATATCATAAAAAAATGTTCCTTATCATGTGTGTGCATGTATGGTGATGAAAAAGGAAAGAAAAGGCAAAAACGAAAAGTTGTGAGCAAATTGTGAAGTGTGTGCGTGTATGGTGATGAAATAGGAAAGAAAAAGTAAAAAAGAAGATGAAAAGTAGAATTGACTTTCATGTATTGCTTTGATTTTGTTCGTGTATTCCGCATGATTGTTTTCTCGGAAAATGAGATTAAATTTACAACAATATACAACTATAAAAGGGTCCAAAACCCCATGAAGGACATAGCTCACTATTACCGATCGATGCTATCTATAATGTTTTCCATTTTGATTCTAATATATGGCCTATTTCTTTTTCTTTCACTTTATATATCATCACTAAAACACTTAAAGAAAGATTGTTTCCAAGCTCTATCTTCCTTAGGGAAGCTTAGGATGGCCTTTCATATGTGTAACTTTGGAGTATGTACGCACAAGTGTTATAGGACAACACCAAAAATTTGTATGAGATAGAGTGGAAAATTATGATTAATAGGTTTTCAACACTTCACTAATAGGAATATCGATGTTCGTTTTCTATGAACCGGCTAGAAACAAGACTTCACTAAAAGGGTCCAAATGTTTGCAATTTTTCAAATTACGGTTATCATAAGTAGTCAAAACTATCAAAATTTTTCTATGGTTCGATCTTAACAAACCTTTAAATATATAACAAGTAGCTAGATGATATATTAATTAATGATGTGATCATAATTAAGGATTTTAAAAGGGTTACATAAATGTAATCTTACGTTTACGTAACCCTTGTATTAACATTTTAATATGTTTGGACCCTTTTAGTGAATGCATAGAGGTCATCATAATCAACCAAAACAAGTCAAAAGTCTTCTATGGTTCGATCTTAACAAACCTTTAAATATATAACGAGTAGCTAGACGTTATATTAATTAATGATGTGATCATAATTAAAGATTTTAAAAGGGTTATGTAAACATAATCTTACATTTAAATAACTCTTTTAGTAAGCATTTTATTATGTTTAGACCCTTTTAGTGTGTGTGTGTATATATATATATGTTGGCCCTTTTTAAAATTTATCCATTCTATTATTTACTATTTTCTTGTATTAGAGAGTAATATAAAATTATTTTTAAAATTTTAATCAATAGTGTAACTTGTTTAGTTGAAATGATTCTTGGGCACTCAATATAAGGACAATCTCGTAGTTCTTAGTCCGTAAAGATAAGTTGGAAGGAGCTCTATTTTATTTTCTCATTAAAGCCAAACCTAAACGTGTGTTCGAAAGATAGTTGTTCATACATGAATAAAGAATGCATGGATTCTCGAGAAGAAATGAGCTAAGGTGGTCCACGTAGACCATCTAGACTCGTAAAGTGAATAGAAAATTGGATCTACATCGAATCTATATAAAGGGATCTTGTTTTTTACAAATTTACAATTAAAAAAAACCTTAGACATAAAAATTTAAAAACAATTAAGGTTCTATTTAATTATTTGCTCTCAACATTTTCATTTGTTTTCACTATTCCCAACTCGCACATTTTAACGTCTCTCATTACCGATTAACTAGCAAGTAGTTGCTACATTATCATTCCTATACAAACAGTGACATCCGGGTACTACTTATAAGCTTTTCGATGTCGATATAGTAATTGTTCTCATTCATCAAAATTAATCCAAGTACTATCCGATTCTAATCAAGCTTTGAAATTTCTATTCACGGGCTATAATTAATTAAGTATAGCAATTCCTATTGTTCTTGAAATCTTGAGAAAAGATAATTATGATGAGAAAAGATAAATGGATGAAATCCATTTATTACTTTAAAAGTCAATTTGCTAGAATAGGAAATTTTTCCCAAATTAATATGCTTTTGCTCTTTTGACAAAAATGTTCTCCTCCATCATAAAATAAACATAATTCAACATATAAAACCTAAAATCAAATCCAAAAGAATAAATATAAGAGAATAAATATCATAAAAAATGTTCTTTATCATGTGTGTGCTTGTATGGTGATGAAAAAGGAAAGAAAAAGAAAAAAGAAAAGTTGCGAGCACATTGTGAAGTGTGTGCATGCACGGTGATGAAATAGGAAAGAAAAAGCAAAAAGAAGACAAAAAGTAGAATAGACTTTCCTGTTTTACTTTGATTTTGTTCGTGTATTCTCGCTTGATTGTTTTCTCAAAAAATGAGATTAAATTTCTATTAATGTGCAACTATAAAAGATTCAAAAACCCCATGAAGGACATAACTTACCTATTATTGATCGATGCTATCTATAATGTTTTCCATTCCGATTCTAATCTATGGCTTTTTTCTTCTTCTTTCACTTTATATTATCACCAAAACACTTAAAGAAAGATTGTTTCCAAGCCCTCATCTTCCTCCGGGAAGCTTAGGATGGCCTCTCATAGGTGAAACTTTAGAGTATCTACGCATAAGTGTTGCTGGCCAACACCAAAGATTTATGAGAGATAGAATGGAAAAACATGATCCATGAGTTTTCAAGACTTCACTACTAGGAGTATCGATGTTTGTTTTCTACGGACCAGCTAGGAACAAGTTCTTGTTCGGTAATGAGAACAAGTTGGTCAAACTTTAATGGCTAAGCTTAGTGAAGAAGTGGTTAAAATCAAGTTTGGTTATAGTAGTTGGTGATGAGGCCAAGAGGATTAGGATGATTCTTTTGACCTTTCTTGATCCAAATGCACTCGAAGAGGTGTGTAGAGAGGATGGATTTAGATACACAAGATCATATTATGATATATTAGGAAGGTATGTATCTACTTTTCTTATAAGGAAATCATGAGTCTTCTTTTTCATTAATCACTCGTTAAAATTTAATAGACAATGACTAGATGCACATAGTTTTATAAAACTGGATTCTTACAACGAGCATGTTATACTATCACTAATGTTGTCTTGGGTGACTTGTTTAGCATTTACATGAATAATTAAATGAAGGATGTTGGATTTGAAAATAATTTTACAATTTTATGAAGGAAAAGAGGAGGTAAAAGTACAACCAACTATGAATTTCTACACGTTCGAGTTGTCCTCCCATTTATTTATAGGCATCGATGACCCTAGACATATTTCAAAACTTGCAGCCTAATTTGAGGTCTTTCTAAAAGGAGTAGTTGGTTTTGATATCAATCTACCGAGTATAAGATTTTACCATGCTTCAAAAGTCTGTTAATGTAATCAAGAAAAAGCTTCAGTTGATTGCTAGACAAAGAAGAGGAGCTATGGATAAAAAAATGGTGTCACTAACACAAGATCTTTTATCATGCTTTCTTGTAATTGCTGATGCAAGTGAAAAGTTCCCATCCGAGTTTGAGAATTTTTGAAAACATATTGTTATTACTCTATGCTAGTCATGACACTAATGCATCGGTTATAACATGTGTCTTGAAGTATCATGCGAATTGCTCGAAGTGTACAAAATGATCCCGAAAGGTTATTCTTATAATAGGTTATTATGTTTAACATAATTTTACTACATGATTCTAGCAAGACCTTTCTAAATGATTGACTATGTCTTGCATATCTTCAATCTCGATAGTAAATTTTTCTCACAAATAAAAGTTTGATTGTTTGTGTTTAATATAGTAGATCGATATTACCAATTCTAAAGAAAAAAAGAGTTGTTTAAATGGGAGGATGTACGGAAAATGAGGCACTCATGGAATGTGATTTTCGAAGTTATGAGGCTATTGCCGCCTATATACGATGCATTTAGAGAGGTTATAGTCTATTTCACCTATGTAGGTTACACTATACCCAAAGGATCAAAGGTACTCACATCTCTTACGATCCTATACAAATTTTATACGAGTAGTTGAAATAGATTTCTCGGTTTGGCTCGGATTGTTTAGACTATAAGACCAAGGTTTTCTATGTTCACTAGTTGTTTTGGCATAGTGGCTCAACATATATGGATCTAGTTCTGTTTTCGAAGGTAGAAGACTTTGATGTTTCTAGGTTTAAAGGAGTAGGACTCATCCCATATTCATATGTTCCATTTGGAGGGGGCAAGGATTTGCCTAGGGAATGAGTATGCTCAAATGCGGACACTCGTGTTCTTGCATAACATTGTGAAAAGATTCAAATGGAATTTATTGATTTCGATGAGAAAGTGGTTTACGATCCCATGCCTACACCATGTGAAGGTCTTTCAATTCGTCTTCAACCTTGCCAATCCTCGATCTAAGATAGGCCACCTTCATTAAGAGGCATATTAAACTTTATGCATTACAAATTATTATTCTGTTACTAATAATTACTTTTAAATGCTCTTACTTCCACATGTTCAATGGATCCATAATTTATTTTGATTTTCTCATGTTTAATAAAGCGAGACTATCAAAACCACAGAGAAGTCGATACTCAATTCCATGGAGGAACAAAATACTATTTCAAGGCGACAAGGCATTACTTGATTAATCTTAGAATAACGAGCATTTGAAACATTTGTCAACATTTGGAAGTTGGAACTATTAACTATATATTGAGTAATTATTAGTTGGCTTCCCGATCTAAGCTCGTACAAACTAAACATATTTACTTCGGTTTCACAACATGTATTATATTGTTAGTCAATGAAAAAAAATATTAAATTAAAGATAAAATGTCATCTAATTTTATAATTTTTAATCAAAATTTTGCATCTATTTTTGTTATGTTTTCATAGCATGGCATAAAGAGAGGAATGTTCATGAAACTCGTGTGAAATAGAATCATTGATCAAAATTAGAAATATTATGTAACACCCCCAACCTATGACCTAATAAGTTGAGAATATTACCATCGTTAGCCACATTGGAAGTGCAATGAATGTAAGCTAACAAGGCACTATGATCTTATTGTAATGTATGTAAGAATATTTACGTGGTAAAAATCTTTTAATGATGTTCAAGTCCTATTTCTTACTTCGACTTCGCTATAAATTTTTTACGTTTATGTCGTATTTATTTATCATGATATTTTATTTTGATTTATTTCATTTTACATGTTTGCTAAACTTCTAATCATGTCAATAAGCGAGTGGATAATTTAAGGTAATTATACTACTATTACGATATTATTATTTATTATTACCGATTCGATTACACACCTTAACTCGCTTACATACATGACTGATTCTATATCAATTACTCTATGTAATGGGTCTACCCGAAGTCAAACCCTCATCCAAGCTACGTGCGTTGATGCCTCCCTCGGTAGTCGACTTTGTAGAGAATGAGCCGTAGTATCTTATTTATCTACACCACAAGGAACTCGTATAAGCTACAACCCGGTAAGTTAACATATGCATGTAATGTAAGTACATGTGTATGTATGCATAAGACATTGATATGCATAGTGAATCCTTTTTCCTTATGTCATAAAACATTTCATAAATAGTTTGAAAAATCCCTTTTCTGTCTTTGGACATGTCTCATTTAAGTACTTCAAGGTTTTCATAACATATGTCCGGCGAACTAGACTCATCCACGGACACGCCCTATCGAGTCTTTAAAAGTGCATGTCCGCACTTGCCCGGTCCCGAACCATTATCATCACTCGTATGAAAAACCCATGAAGTCCTTTCCTCAAAACCTCAAAGTCATGAAAATCTTTTCCTTTGAAATCATTCCGATTGCTATCGGATAACCATGACATAAAATATATTTCCATGACTTAAAACATTATTCATGAGCTAAGCATGCGTATACAATTTGCAATGAACCAGCAAACTATATGAATTCATAAATGCTTACTTAGAATGGTTATGTAACCAAGTCATAAGAATCGATATAAAATTGGACAACATAATAGCATAGATAACATTAATCCAATATAAACCAACAACATTATCATTGGCACATCAATCATCATAACCCAATTCTCATCATCAATCACATTCAAGCAAAACCATTATTCATAATCTAATGCATTCATGTAGCATTTGAAAGAACATAACCATAATATAAAAGAAGATTAACATTTTTGTTCCATTTCTTTGTTCGGTAAACTTACCTTTCACTTTGCTTTCCTAAATTCTTTTCCTTAGGTTCTTAATCATCTTTCCATATTTGGTCTTTACCAAATTAAGTATCATTTCATGTTCCAACCTAACTAGGTATTATTTTATTGATTTAGGAGGTTCAATTTTGGTTTGGGCCTTAATGGGCCTAAGGTCTAATTTTTCCTAAATCAATTTTTTTTCTTTAGATTTTTATGAACACTTTTATTCTAAACCATCCTTTTTTCATTATCTTGAGCATGAATGAACTAAGTTAGGGTATGGAACTTAAAGAGAGACTTTTAAGTGATCGAGTGAATTACACGAGCAGAGACTCGCCAGTGTGGGAGGCTGTGTAACTCTCTGCCTTCAAGAAAACACATTTTTTCATTACACAAACAAGGACACACCCATGTGGGAGGCCTTATAACTCCCTGCCTTCAATAAAAACATATTTCTTCATTATAAGGGCAAGGACACACCTATGTGGGAGGCCGTGTAACTCTCTAACTCCAAGAAAACACATTTCTTCATTACACATTTTCTTCAATTTTTAGTAAATTTTTCATTTCTACTCATCAAAACATGCTTATTCAAGTGTGAATGACCTATCAAACCAGAATCAATTTGCTTTGAACTCAACCCTTAATTTGCTTAGTTTAGGCTAAATATAATTTCTAAAAATTAGTGGATTTTTCTTCAATTATAGTGTAATTTTTCATTTCTAAACATGAATTCATACTTAAATAAGTCGGAATCAAGTGTCAAAACACCAATTAAATGAGAGAATTCAAAACCCCCAAATTTGGTTCATTAAGAACCCTAATCCTATTTTTATCAATTGAGCAATTAAATCAAATCAATCAATTAAACATGAAATTGACTTGAAATTAAGCATACTTGTGGTGTAGGTGAGGTTAACTTACTCATTTGAGGTCCAATTAGACTCTAAAACGGTAGATTGGTGAAGGATTTCTCTTCCTCCTCTTTTCTCTCGAAATTTTTGAATTTGATCTTCGAATTTTTTCCCTTGAGATTTTCAGCTTCCCACTTAAAATTCAAGCTTCTTCTACTGATTAGAGATGGATAGAATTTATTAAAAATGTTTTGAGTGATTTTTAATTGAAAATTTTGTAAGAGTTTCCTTTGTGTTTTTCAATTTTTTCCTCTCCTTTTTATTTTTTCAGAAACCCTATTTATATATAATTTTGTGAAATCATTGAACCCATCTCCACCCTTAATGTGAGAAAATCTCAGCCCTTAATTCAATTTCTAATCATTATTTACATTTGTCCTACTTTTTAGCCATTTATTCACTTTTTTATCTATCCCTTCCACCTTTGCTATTTTTGGCCATAATGTTTACTGGAAGTTAGAGTTAATTACTGCTCTAGCTTGGCCAAATTTGGAAGGAAAATGACAAATTTTGGTCCTTCAAGTTTCTAGACTTTTTCATGGCCTATTCTTTCCTAAGTCCCTCTTTTATGCAAAAACTCACTTCTAATCCTTCCTTTTTATTTTTTAGACTAATTTTGTTAACCCTTAACATTCTCATAGAATTTAATTTGGATTATTAGACTTTTAATTTTATGCAATCGAGTCCCTAATTTTATGCAATTTAGTCCCTACTTTTAAAATCCCATTCTATACTTTTCAAAAATCAAATTTTTTTCTAGAATAAATTCAAAAATTCATTAAGGGAGTTCATTTTAAATTTTCATAATTTTTGGCCCTAATTTGAGCCTTCAATTTATTTATTTAGTGTGAAAATTATACTATTTCCTATAAAAAAATATTCCCTATACTTACTAAAATTAATTTAAAATCTCTAGGCACTCTCACACATCCTATATGATTATTCTATGCTCTTAAAAATTTCTCATACTAGTAAGGTGCCTAATTAATTTCTTTACCACTAAAAACACTATTCCTAGACTTAGAAAATTCAATGAAATATTCAACATATGTAGAAAAATTCATAAAATCATATAAAATAATCTAACACCCTTCTAAAAATTATTCTAAATAAAAATATATTTTTCATACACGAACAACATGCTTTAATTAGTTTTCTCATGCAATAACTAGTATTAACGTACCGAAAAATCACTAAAATATTCTTTAAGCATGGAAAACTATTTTGAGCCTTCTAAATATTATTTGAGGCTTCTAATAATTATTTCTCATTCTCAAAAATATTTTTTTATTTATTTTCATATGATTTTAATATTAAACTTTTATTACATTTTTATTTTAGCGAGTACGGGCATTATATCCTTCTCTCCTTACAAAAATTTCATCCTTGAAATTTACGTTAGAATAATTTAGGGTACCGCGCCCGCATTTCGCTTCTCGTTCCCATGTTGCCTCTTCCACTTCACGATTCCTCCATAATACTTTGACTAGAGGAATCTCTTTATTTCGTAATTTCTTAACATCTTGGTCCGGGACTTGCACTAGTCCTTCTTCATAACTAAGATTGGCTCGGAGGTCCGGGAGTTCGTTACTCAATATGTGATTGGGGTCGTCCACGTATTTTCGAAGCATAGATACATGAAATACGTTGTGGATTGATGAGAGCGAAGGTGGTAATGCCAACCTATAGGCTCGATCACAAATCCTCTCCGGTATTTCATATGGTCCTATATAACGTGGACTCAATTTTTCTTTTTGTCCGAATTGCATTATGCCTTTCATAGGGGTTATCTTCAAAAATACTTTATCACTTACTTGGAACTCCAACTCTTTTCTCCTCATGTCAGCATAACTTTTCCGTCAACTTTGCACTCG